TTGTGATAGCATCCCCAACGGCTGGATAAAAACGCACTTAGCACACTTTCGGTCATTCCACAAGGTGATGCTGTGGTAGCCGGCGAGCAGAGGGGAACGAGGGGAGAGTAAGGAGAGGAGGGAGAAGGGAAAGCTTACGCAAGGTAGGGAGGTTCCGGCGCTTGCCGGGGGACCAATCTGGTTCTTTATAAGACAAGTGTCAAGTACTGTGTGAGATTTTCAGGACTGACATAACGATGGTGAGTTCGTTTTTTTCTGTCATCGCTCCTGTGATGTTGTCTGTTAGGCCGATGTCAGACTTTGCGAATCGCGCGATTCGCTAGCGTCTGCGGTCGCGTCGCGGCCAGTGAATCACTCAATTGGCTGGTACCGCAACGCGACCGCGGACGCTAGCGAATCGCGAATCGCGCGATTCGCAAAGTCTGACATCGGCCTAACCTCGACTTTGTATGAATCTTTGCCTCGTCTTCAAAATACGATAGAATAGTTACTAAGCTCCCAAATCAACGATAACCTTCATAAGGCTGACGTTTGGGTGCTTTCACCTTCTTAGGAGCCTGGGAAAGACAACTACACGCCCAAACTCTACTTCAACCTACAAGGATCGCTCAACAGGGTGTAAACTACTAAAACCCCAAATTAGCTTAAGGCTTGATCTGTTCAAGTTGCGGAGGTAGATGAAAACCAAACTTTAGAGATGCTGACCAGAAGGATCCACCGCCATCTCCAAGCTGCTAGTAACGCGGCTAGAACAGATTAAGCCTTCAGCTTATTTGAAGGTGGTGACAGTAATTTTCGCACAATCCGATTCCTGCCCTTGCGGGTGTTTTCTAGAGTTCCCAATACTCTTTGAAAAGCAGTTAGAAACGCTGTTCCTGAAGAAACTCGAGCCAAGGGTTGCGATCCAAGTGGTGTCACAGCCTTGCAAACCTGACTACCCATGAGCGCAATTTGTCACGTTGCAGCAAAACAAAACAAAAACTCCATACAGCGACCTGTGAATGGATGATAAATTGTACGGCGCTCCTTCCTTGACGTGGAACTTAGATGCCTTAGTGATATAAACTATTGCGTCTGTATTGGCTTCAGAATCTACCAAAATTTGAAGTAAGGTGGTGTAGTGTCAGGTGGCGCAGCACAGAATGAGAATAGTTACGTTGACCCATCAATTATTGTGACTCAACTGAGGACGACTGCTGCCTTTTTAGCGTCTGATAGTATTTCTATTCGAATATGCTCTGTATGCCTACCAAGCGCGTCCACTGGACGTATAGAAATAAATAAATAAATAAATAAATAAATATAAGTCGTGGTCTAGCTGCTATAGTATTCTGCCCAGGCCAATCGATCCTGCCATCTTTCTAGATCGGTTTCGTCATCGAGAAGATAAGGCACCAGGGGTAATTTGAAAGGGTAAAAGACCCTAACTTTGTCTGGCCTCGCAAGTAAATATATGGCCAAAATCGCAATCAAATATCACTACGAAATCGAGTGGGAATATGTAGAAAGCGTGGTGAATCCCAACAAGAGATCGATAAGGCCTAATGTTTTATGTCTTGTCTTGTCTCCTTTTATGCCTTTTTCTCTGACTGTTTTTTCGCTCTCTTCTTTCTTTCTTGATCCTTCCACTCCCTCTTTAATTCCTTCTTTCCTAACCGTTAGCTACAATCCGAACCGAAGCGAGTGCCTAATTTTGGTGCAAAGCGGTGCAGATTCTTTCCCAGTGGAAGGTCGAAGGACCGAAATTTTCCTTTCGTTCTGCGTCACGCAATTTTGCGACCATTTGTTGGAAGGATGCAACGCAGTGCTGCATGTCGCGCTATAGATTTAAGACCGAAATGCAACTAGTGAAACTCCCGAGAGGAATCTGCGAGCGCTCGGATGTGCACGAACGATGACAACTAAGGCACTGGGGACATCGTAGTTCGCATTCCAAGACGAAAAAATCGTCCACGTCGCACTCACCCGGATATTGCTCCCTAGTGGGAGTTCTCATATTTTGTGCATGTCTTCTTCGACGAGTTTCAAAAAAAAGGTTTCTTTTTTCAGACATGCGTGCATAATCTTCTTCGATGTGTGCAACGCTACGGAGAGGTAATTTGTTCACATTTTTTTCCAATGTGTCTGTCGTCCCCCGGGAAGAACAAGGGCACAACGAGACTCAATAGATAGAAAAAAACGAAAACAGAAAAAATGGGGGTCCATCTGCCATCTAATTGATTTATCCCACTGTGGTATGAATAAGGAATGAAGGGCATCTCCGGAAGGCACCAGAATCGTTGCTGAAAGGGGTACAGATAGACCTCGATATGCTGTGACAAAAGAGTTCCCTGAAAGTAAAAAGAAAAAACACTGAGGTGATCACTGCCCGAAGATAAAATATTTGGACAGATCGTCAGAAGGGTCTCGAAAATCAGGATTTTGATCACTTCTTTGTCTCTTCTCCAAAACATTCTGAAATTTGAGCACATTCATCTTTTGAAGAAATACTGTCTTTTGAAGAACAGGCTGGTCAGGTCCGTAATTGACTAGAATTTATAAATACTAA